ATTTCCCAGGGCGGTAATAAAAGGCGTCCTGTGAGTAGGGTTCTATGGTGTATTGTGTTTGGGAAACCCAGAGCTGAGCAAAGAGACACTGCTGTTTCCCACTGGGCTTCACAGAACTTTAGCACCACAGCAGGAGGGAGCATGCGGGTTCCAGACATATTTGATCATGAAAGATTCTTCTTGTTGTTGGTTAGCATCCCATGGGACTAGCCTACAAGAAAACAGGCTACGAAAAGTGCTGGGTTGAGTTTTTCCCTGGACATTCTCTCCAAGGAGGAAACCGAGGCTCCAGGGGCCCACGTGGCAGAGCTGGCGTTCCAGAGCACAAGCCCAGTCAGGCCAGAGACTTTCTCAGGCCCCCACTTCTCCTGCCCTCAGCCTCGTGCACGGGCACAGTCACATCGCTGCTGGGTGCAGAGATCCCAGGCCCGCTCGGAAGCGTCCCTAAGCCTCACAACCCAGAAGCCTTCAAAGGTGTCCTCCGTCGTGCTCTGCCCATACTTCCTCCCCCGGTCAGGTCCTGCTTGTGCCACTGCCTCTCTGGCAGGAGCATCTTTCAGGCTGGTCACCCACCAGCTCCCTGCAGACATGACCCACCTCCCCTCTTCGCATGACATAGCATTTACTGAGGTTTTGTTCATTTCTAAAAGTTAGCCGTGTTCACTGTAGGAAATTAGAGAACACCCTGTCAATTCAAGTTTAATGTCCAAAAGCAGGTATAGGCCTGGGCCAGAATTCTATATAGCCATTCAAATCATGTTTTTGAAGCATGTTTTATGATGGGAAAATGCTTACAATATAATGTTATTAAGGGAAAATGCGGGACCCAGGAGAGCAAGTATGTCATCAAAATTTTGTAAAAAATTAAAAAGATGATGAAAAAATATATTCCAGCATTATGCGCATAGAAGAAAGATTGAAAGGATCTGTACCAAATTATTATGTAAGTTAACTCCGGGTAGATGTATTTTGGCTGATTTTTCTCTTCTCTTATACTTTTCTCCTGCAATGAGTAATATTACGTCTATCACCGAAAAAGAACAGTGTATAGAAAGCTTTGTTATTCTAACATGTTACCCAGCACAGGCCTGGCCCACAGGAGACTTTAGTTAACGTTTATTAGCAGGGGAGGCGCAGGCATTCCCCTCCTGCCATCATCCTCTATTCTCTGCATTTCCCGTGTTAGCCCAGATTCCACCCCATTGTGCCTGTAAACCATTCAACGTGACCTGAGAATTCCAAAGTTTTAACAACGCAAATGTGTCTCCTTGTCTAGCCCTTTTACCCTGAGGCTACAAAGAGTCTTTCATCAGGCCAGGTGCTTGGCGTTGTTTAGGCAGCCTCAGGATATCTGGTTCTCACACAGGGAGTGGACCTCAATTCTGGTCAGGAAGAGCCCGAAGACAGGGGATTCCAAGAGAGGCTGCTTTCAAATTCCCTCCATTACAGAATGCAGCACATGAACCTAAAACCTGGGCGTGCGCTACTGTGAGGTTGGAAGCCCTGTGGTTGAGACCCAGTCCCTTCCCTTCCTGGAGGGGCCTAGACTTGGGGGGAAAGGGAGAGGCAGCGGCACACAGACTGGGGCAGTAGAGGGGGCCAGGACATCTTCCAGAGCAGGTGACACTGGAGCTGGGCATTGAAGGACAGATGGGAGATAACCAGAGAAAAAGAGCAGGAAAGGTGTTCCTGGCAGAAGGAACAGCAAGTGCAAAGGCCTAGAGGCAGGAGTGTGTTTGCTGTGTTCAGGGACTTGCTGAAACAGGAGATGAGAGAAAGGACAAGTGCAGGAGGAACAGGGGAAGGTCATGGCAAGGTCTGCTCAGGGCCAGGGACTGTATCTTATGGGATCTCACTGTCATTGTTTTTTGGCGTGAAGTGCAGTGCAGAGTGGAAGGATCTTGCACTAGGAATGATGGGTGGTGTTGGGACGGTTGTGAGCATGGGAGAATCAGGGGATCTGGGGGTATGAACAGACCCTGCTGGGGCTGGGCCAGGCTGTGTCTAGGTGGGAGAGGACAAGGGCTGAGGTGGAGCTGAGGCCTTGGAGATGGTGAGGAGGGGATGGAACAGGGAGTCAGAGGACAGAGGGCCAGGCTGGGGACTGATGGGCTGGGGGCAGCACCAGCAAGTGTCAGGATGATGCAGTAAGAGGGCTCTTGTCCTGAGACCCTCCCGCAGAGCTGAGAGCCACCCTCCGCAGGTGGTGCAGTGCAGCATGGCTTTGGGTTGGAAAGCCCAGTGTTCTAACTCCAAGGGCATGGCACCGGTTGTTCAAGGCCAATAATAACAATCGTGATGATGTGCTGAGAGCCCCTGAGCACTCTGGAGGAGCCAGCACCGCCTGAGCGCTCCCACCGTGACCTCTTTGCATCTTCCCAGCTGCCCTCAGAAGTGATTTTCATCACCCTTCTTCATAGCAGGAGTGGATCCAGAGGCACAGAGACCTCCAGTGATAGGCCCTACAGCCAGGAAAGGGACGTGGGATTTAAACAGGGCTCGGCTTTTGCTGCCGCATCCACGGCCTCGTTTTCTGCATCTGTTGAAAGGGAACAGCAATGTGATCGGTGCCAAGTGAGGTGGTGAGGGGCCCGGGCTCCAGCCAGCCCTGCCCAGCTCTGCCACAAAGCCAGCTGCTGCTGTGGGCCTCCGTTTCCTCTTTTCTAAAAGAGGACAATAACAGTCCTTGTTCATAGGGCTGTTGGATAAAATACAATTATATTCACAAAGCAGCACTGAGTGCCAAGAAGCACCGTGTAAACTTGCACCATCTGACACGGCAGCCACTGGCCACTGCTGGCTGCGGAGCACATGAGCTGCACATATCCTGACTGAGGCACACCGTGAGGGCAGAACACACGCGGGGTCCTAGAGGCGCAGTATGGGAAGAGTGTGAAATATCTCACTCGTAAGATTCACCCTGATTACATGTCAAAAGAACATTTTGGATATATTGGGTTAAACTAATATATTATTAAAATTCATGTCACCTGTTTGGGGTTTTTTTTTTAATGTGGTTTCTAGGAAATTTAAAGTTATACATGCGACTCATTTTATATTTCTATTGGACAGCACTGGCATAAGTAGTGGCTTTATTATCACTTTATGACTATGACTATGCCAAGTGCCTCTCAGGTATATCTTTTTTTCTTTAACTTTTTTCTTGTTTTTATTCCTGCTTATTCTAAAAGTAATTTTTGCTCATTGAGGAAAAAAATAACAAAAGAATAAAAATCCTCCATAATCCCCAACAGCTGGAGTTCCCTAGTAAGCACAGCTTGGAGTATTTCCGTCCAGTCTTTTTTTGGTGCATATATGCAGATATCTAATTCTTCAGCTTCTTTTTTAGCTTTAGGAAGTTGTGATTACACAGTATGCTGTTTGGAGTTCTCAATCTCCCCCTTAATATTGTAACACAAACATTCTCAATGTCATTAACTAGGCTTCAAACATGTGATCTGATGGCTGTGTGAACTTCTGTGCCTCTGTGTCCCCAGCATGGTGATCATTGAGGAGGATCCTGTGAGATTCTGCCTTCCATGCCTGGCCCAGCACTGCCCCTTCTGTGGTCCTCAGCCCCAGCCCCGAGAGATGGCAGCTAAAGTCAGGGGTTAAGAGCCAGAACTCGAACCAGAGAGCCTGGGTCCAGTTCCAAACCTGCTATCCCCTTCTGCATAACCTTGCACAAGTTGCTGTACCTCTCTGTGCCCAATTCATAATTCCTCGTGTGAAACCCTTGAGGCCAGATGTGTTTTGAATTCTGATATTAGAATATAATAATATATAGTCTACAGCCATATTACCCTGAACGCACCCAATCTCATCTGATCTCAGGAACTAAGCATGGTCAGGCCTGGTTAGTACTTGGGTGGGAGAATATAATAATATATAGCATAAGTATAATATAATGCATATATTTTATAACATCTTTGTGGTCTTATGCTTCTTATCAAACACGGGAATATTTCTAGAGCGAAGTATTTGAATAGTCACATGAGCGAAATCAATAAAAGTTTTAAATAGTTTCATATGAGTTCTGATCAGGTTTTGCCACCAAATGGGATTTGGTGCCAAAGTTCTAAAAAATCTGGTTTTCAGGTTCTTATAAGTTTTGGAATTGCAGATATTGAATAAGGATTCATAATAGCACCTATCTCATAGGGCAGTTGGGAGGATTAGATGAGTTATTACGTGTAAAGTATTTAGAACAGTGTCTGGCACCAACATGTCCAATGGATGTTAGCTGCTGGTGTTACTATTTTTAATATTTTTTATTTTTACTTTTTCATTTTTAAAAATACATATAACTTCCATATAATAAAATGCCCCCATTTTAAGTGTACAGTTCGGGGAGTTTTGACAGTTACATTCATCCATATAACCATATAACCACCACCCCAATAGAGAACATTTCCATCACCCCAGAAAGTTTCCTCCAGCCCCTTCCCAGTCTGCTCCCACCCAGCACGCGCTTGAGACATCCACCTAGAGAACACCTAGGGCCTGGCGTGGACAGAGCCTTACCACACGGGCCCCTGCATGCCAGGCTTTCTTGGTCCTACATAATGCCCGAGGACTCATCCAACTTGTGTGGATCAGTCATTCGTTCCTTCTCACGGCTGAATCCTAGCCTTCCATTGTGTGGACACACCACAGACTGTTTGTCTGTTTGCCCTTTGATGGACATTTGGGTGGCTTCTAGTTTAGGCCGTAATGAACAAAACTGCTGTGGACACCCACATGGAAGCCCTGCGTGCACACCTGCTGTCATCTCTCTGGAGGAAGTGCTCAGGAGTGCAATGGCCGGGTCATATGGCAACTCTAGTTTTAACTTTATAAGACACTATCAAATGTTTACCAGAGTGCTCGTACCATCTTATACTCCCACCAGCAAAGTGTGAGGGATCCAGTCGCCCCACACCCGCCAGCATTTGCTGCCTCTATCATTACTATCATTAGTATTAGCATTACTGATCCATGTTGCCCCTCCTCGCCCCCAGGTGATCCGCACGGACACATTCAAGCACCTGCGGCATCTGGAGATCCTGCAGCTGAGCAAGAACCTGGTGCGCAAGATCGAGGTGGGCGCCTTCAATGGGCTGCCCAGCCTCAACACACTGGAGCTGTTTGACAACCGGCTGACGACGGTGCCCACGCAGGCCTTTGAGTACCTGTCCAAGCTGCGGGAGCTCTGGCTGCGCAACAACCCCATCGAGAGCATCCCCTCGTACGCCTTCAACCGTGTGCCCTCCCTGCGGCGCCTCGACCTGGGTGAGCTCAAGCGGCTGGAATACATCTCAGAAGCGGCCTTCGAGGGGCTGGTCAACCTGCGCTACCTCAACCTGGGCATGTGCAACCTCAAGGACATCCCCAACCTGACAGCCCTGGTGCGCCTGGAGGAGCTGGAGCTGTCGGGCAACCGGCTGGACCTGATCCGCCCAGGCTCCTTCCAGGGCCTCACCAGCCTGCGCAAGCTGTGGTTGATGCATGCCCAGGTGGCCACCATCGAGCGCAACGCCTTCGACGACCTCAAGTCGCTGGAGGAGCTCAACCTGTCCCACAACAACCTGATGTCGCTGCCCCACGACCTCTTCACGCCCCTGCACCGCCTCGAGCGTGTCCACCTCAACCATAACCCTTGGCACTGCAACTGTGATGTGCTCTGGCTAAGCTGGTGGCTCAAGGAGACGGTGCCCAGCAATACGACATGCTGTGCCCGCTGCCATGCACCCGCCGGCCTCAAGGGCCGCTACATTGGTGAGCTGGACCAGTCACACTTTACCTGCTATGCGCCTGTCATTGTGGAGCCACCCACGGACCTCAACGTTACCGAGGGCATGGCCGCCGAGCTCAAGTGCCGCACGGGCACCTCCATGACCTCCGTCAACTGGCTGACGCCCAATGGCACCCTCATGACCCATGGTTCCTACCGCGTGCGCATCTCTGTCCTTCACGACGGCACGCTCAACTTCACCAATGTCACCGTGCAGGACACGGGCCAGTATACATGCATGGTGACGAACTCAGCTGGCAACACCACTGCCTCGGCCACACTCAATGTCTCGGCCGTGGACCCCATGGCAGCTGGGGGTGCCAGCGGCGGTGGGGGTGGCCCCGGGGGCAGTGCTGGTGGAGGGGGCAGTGGCGGCTACACCTATTTCACCACAGTGACTGTGGAGACCCTGGAGACCCAGCCTGGAGAGGAGACGCTGCAGCCACGGGGGACGGAGAAGGAGCCACCAGGGCCCACCACGGACGGTGTCTGGGGTGGGGGCCGGCCTGGGGACGCAGCTGGCCCGGCCTCGTCATCCACCACAGCGCCTGCGCCGCGCTCCTCACGGCCCACAGAGAAGGCATTCACAGTGCCCATCACGGACGTGACAGAGAACGCCCTCAAGGATCTGGACGACGTCATGAAGACCACCAAGATCATCATTGGCTGCTTCGTGGCCATCACCTTCATGGCTGCCGTGATGCTCGTGGCCTTCTACAAGCTGCGTAAGCAGCACCAGCTCCACAAGCACCACGGGCCCACACGCACGGTGGAGATCATCAACGTGGAGGACGAGCTGCCCGCTGCCTCCGCGGTGTCCGTGGCCGCTGCCGCCGCTGTGGCCAGCGGAGGGGGTGTCGGTGGGGACAGCCACCTGGCCTTGCCCGCTCTGGAACGCGACCACCTCAACCACCACCACTACGTGGCGGCTGCCTTCAAGGCACATTACAGCAGCAACCCCAGCGGCGGGGGCTGCGGGGGCAAGGGCCCACCCGGCCTCAACTCCATCCATGAACCTCTGCTCTTCAAAAGCGGTTCCAAGGAGAACGTGCAAGAGACACAGATCTGAAGGCAAGGGGCGGGGGGCTGCAGCTGCTGAGGGACTCGGAGACCTGCCACGCCCCATGCTAGAGCCAGGCGCCGGCCAGACTTGGGACTCCTTCCCACAACTCCAGCTCATCTCTGGGACCACACAGGGAAGGTGGGAAAGGATGGCTTCCAGCCCCATCTAGGTCTCGGACCCCCAGTGAGGAAAGGGTGGGGCTCCAAGAACAAAGTCCCCGTGGTTCCAGCCTTGCCCCACCCATCCCTGGTGATGGGAGGGGACACAGGGCTCAGGAGAAGTGGCCCAAACCCTCCTCTTTTCCTTCTCACTCTCCTGACCGACTGTTCCCGCCCACCGCCTTCCAGGGGAGATAGGAGGTTTTTGAGGGGTAACCTTTCCCCTCACCCCCAACCACCCTCCTTTTATGGATCATTTTTTGAAGTTTGACGCCTGCCCCTCTTTCCCACTCCTACACCCTTGAAACTGAAGAGACAGACGTGTCGCCAGAGCTTTCCTGACACCCTGGCCCCGTCCCCAGCGCTGAGCCCCACTCCCGGCCCCTGGCCCCCATCGGCTGGGGTGGGGGCAGCCTCGACCCGCCCCCCCAGCCCTCACACGCCCCACAGACTCACAGACTCTTTTGATACTGAAGGGAGGTTTGCGTCAACGACTACCTGCTCTGTAATTACTTTAAAAAAAAACATGGAAAAAGTAAAAAAATATTTTTTTTGGTCATGAAAGCACAGAGGAGAGAGAAAACAAAGTGCATGTGGGTGGGGAGCAGAGTGAGAGGAGGGAAACTGAAGCCTGCCCTGGAGGTCGGCGGGGGTCGGCACCTCCAGGGCGTCTTAGGCCCCTCAACCTGCAACCCAGAAACCCCAGAGGGGCTCGGTTGTCCGTTACACACGTCCCACTCACATTTAATCTCCCTGGCAGCCCTTTTGAGGTCTGTACTGGGCTTCCCTCGCCCGCCTCATGCCCTACCCACCCAAGCCTCCCCAGCCCCCACCCCGTCCTCCAATGACAGCAGAAGAAACTGAGGGCGCCTGTATTGTATTAGTCCCCTGGGTCTGCCATAACAAAATGCCACACACTGCGTGACTTAGGACGACAGAAATTTATTGTCTCACAGTTCTGGAAACTGGAAGTCCAAGACTGAGGTGCTGGTGGGGCCATGCTTTCTCTGACGCCTGTAAGGGAGGGTCCTTCCCAGCCTCTTCCAGCTTCTGGTGGCCCCAGGTGTTCCTTGGCTGGTGGCTGCATCACTGCAGTCCTCACATGGCCTTCACTCCGTCTTCCCTCTTTCTATGTATGTCTGTGGACATCCACCTTTCCCCTTCCGAGGATGCCAGTCATATTAGGATTAGGAGCCCCCATCCCCCCCACCTCCAATACAACCTCATCTTGTTGTCATCAGCAAACACCTGATTGCCAGTTAAGACCGCATTCTGAGGAACTGGAGGTCGGGACTTCAGCATATCTCATTCTGGGTGACACAGTTCAACCCATAATAGGGAGTGTTTGTCTCCACTGCAAACCCATTCGAGGCTGCTCTGGAAGAAAGCGGTTTGTCTTGAAGAGGAAGGGGTGTGATGTGGGTGGGCATGAGAGGGAGGCTGTGGCCAGCAGAGCCTGAGGGTCTTGTTTAAGGCAGACGCAGGAGGGGTGGATGGGGTCTGCTCTGGGGAGTGGGAACAGGCTACAGTGTAGCCCAGAAGGGCAGGGACCACACACAGGGACAGAGCTCCCAGAGTGTCAGGAGCCAGAGACAGGGAGCAAGCATGGGGGTTCAGCCAGGACAGTGGGCAGCTGCTGGGGTGGGGGGAGTGTGTGATGTCTCTGGGGGACACATGTGCCGAGTTTCAGCCTCAAGGGGAGGGCAGGGGCTGGCCAGGGCTGTCTCATGCTATCCAGGGAGACAGAGGCCAGCAGAGGTAGAGGGAGTGACCAGAGCCAACACTTGGCCTTGCAGCGCATTCCCACACTGAGAATGAGACACCCCTGGGCAGACACAGCCCCAAGGGGCAGGCCAGGGCTCAACCCCCCTTCTCCCCTCTCCTTGGCCCAGCCTGTCCCCCATATTGGTAGCTCTAGGCACCGTGGGGACAGCCAGGCCCCCAATGGAGTCCATGACAGAAGTGTAGGAGGGCAGGATGACCCACACACACCCCCGTCCCCACCCTGTGTGCTCTGTGAGGGTCGGGACAGGGGCCCATGTGCCCGTCTCCTGCCCCTCTTTCCTGGCTGTTTCTATACCCACAGTATCTTATCTGTCCCCTACTCTGGGATCCAGGGCTCTTCAAGCAAATTCTTCCCTTATCGGTGGCAGCAGCCTCCCGTTGGCAGCACCCGCCCCGCAGCAACGCGTCTGGGGTCTCTGGCCCTATCTGTCTGCGTCTATCTCCTCTCGCCGCCTGTCAACTTGGGACTCTCTGTGCCGCCTGGTGCCCGCTCCCCCTCATTCTCTCTTTCATGCTCTCTTTCTCGTCAGTCCCCTTTCAGTGCCGATCCTGGTTGTCATGGTAACAAGGCAGCGGGTACCAGGTGGTGGCTGGGGGCAGGGAGCCGGCACTGCCGCAGCCTCCACCATTTCCGATGCCAGGCACCTGCAAGGCGCAGTGGCCGGGGCTCGTTTGGGGAAAACTGGACTCCCCAGGCCTTGCAGCGATGAGAAATGGGGAGAGAGAGACGGATGTGGGAGTGAGAATGCAACACGGGGCAGTGAAGGGTGGAGAGTCAAAGCGAACGAAAGGATGATCAGAGCCTGGAGGGAGGGAGGGTCTCGATGGGGGCTGAGGGGTGCTGGGAGGGGAGCCCCTCCGTGGACCTGGGGGAGACTGGGCCCACCGAGGCAAGGGCACAGGTAGGGTAAGCTGAAACGCCAGCTCCAGTTGCCATCTGGGGGGGATGGGGGCATGACCAGGCTGAGGACTCCTTCAGACCACGGCCACTCGAGGACCCAAACGGGTGGGGAAGAGGAGATGAGGACCTGGGAGCATGGGGATGGACTGAGCCCAGAGTCCCTGTCACCATCTCTCCGCATCCCAAGCAACATGCAGTTTCCATGACAACCTGGCTGGCCAGAAAGGGGTGGGGGACTGCAGAGGAAATTTTCCACATCAGCAGGAAGGGAGGAGGGCGTGTTGCAGAAGAAGGAACAGCCTTGGGTAAAGGGGGGCATGCAGGGACCCTGGAACCCCAAATCATCATACCCACTGCCCCCAGTCTCAGGGAAAGTGAAGGGAAGGCAGGGAAGGATTCTCACCCCTCCCCCATGCCAGCAAACCCACTCCCCCGCCTCTGGGCCCATAGGGAGAAGGTTCGGAAGGGGCTCAAGGGTCAAATGTCCAAAGATCAGCAGCTGCCCAGGCCTGGTGCGGGGTTGTTGAGCAGCCGAGGGAGCTCGGGCAACAGACCACCAGATTCAAGGCATGGCCCTCAACAGGATCCCGCTGAGGGTGGGGGTGGTGGGCTACGGCCGCCTTGGTGAGTGCCGAACCATCTTGGGCCTCCTTCTCCAGGCCCCTTCCTAAAGCCCCAAAACCCCATCTGCCCTCCACAAACAGAGCTTCCACCTGTCTTTAATCTTTGCCCCTGGCTGTGTCTGTCTGCCTACCTATCTTCCACCCACCCGGGTCTCTGTCTCTCTCTCCCTCAGGTTCTGTCCCTCTCTTTGGGTCTCTTTCACCCTCTCTCTGGATTTCTGTCTCCCTCCTTCTCTGGGTCTCTGTCCCTCTCTCTGGGTCTCTGTCCCCCTCTCTCTGGATCTATGTTCTCCTCTCTCAAGTCTCTAACCCTCTCCTTTACCTCTGCCCAGGACAGTCCCTTGTCTCCCACCTGCTGGCTCAGGGACTGGAACTGGGCCTAGAACTTGTTTTTGTCTGGAATCGTGACTCAGGACGAATGGCAGGGAGTGTGCCCCCTTCCCTGCAGCTCCAGAACCTTGGTGCCCTTGGGGAAAGGTCAGTGAGCTTGCCATGGGAGAGTAGGGCCCTGAAGCTCCTGTTTGGGCCTACCTTAGCTGCTGTGTGATCTCAGGCAAATCCTTTACCCTCTCTGGGCCTTGGTTCACCCAAATGTGAAATGGGAAAACTCTATCCATCTCATGTCCCCTCCCAGGCCACAGTGAAGAGTGACAGCCCTCTATAGACTCTGAGGGAACCTAGGGGAGGGGAAGCCTAATACCTCTCCAAGGCCTTCCCCTCTCTCTCCGCTCTCTCAGGCATCCTGATCTAGTGGTGGAAGTGGCCCATCCCAAAATAATTCACGAATTTGGGGCACAAATCCTACGCCATGCCAATCTCCTGGTGAGCCCCACTCCACCCCATAACCCAGGCCCCTACCCCTTCTGTCTTGGTCTCACCCCACCCTAAGCCCTAATCTCAACCCTCCTCACCTCCATCTGTCCCAGGTGGGGTCCCCCTCAGCCCTGGCTGACCAGACCACAGAGCAACAGCTCCTGGAGGCCTCACACCACTGGGGCCATGCCGTGTTTGTGGCCCGAGGAGCCCTTTGGGGCACAGAGGACATCACCAGATTGGATGCAGCCGGAGGCCTTCAGGTGGGGGCCCACCGGGCTCCCCAGGAACAGGAGGGGGCCTGAAAATACTCTGGCCCCCCTGACCCTAGCTCTTGCTTCCAGAGCCTTCATGTCACCATGGCCACACACCCCGATGGCTTCCGGCTTGAGGGACCTCTGGCAGCAGCCCACAGCACTGAGCCTCGCACTGTGCTCTATGAAGGTCCTGTCCGTGGGCTCTGCCCCTTTGCCCCCCGAAACTCCAACACCATGGCAGCCGCTGCCCTGGCTGCCCCCAGCCTGGGCTTCGACCAGGTGATTGGGGTGCTTGTGGCAGATCTCAGGTGAGCAGAGCCAAGCAGGGGGTTGGGCTGGGTCTAAGCCAGCCAAACTGACAGCCCCTGCTTGCCCCAGCCTCACAGACATGCACGTGGTGGATGTGGAGCTGAGTGGACCCCCGGGCCCCACAGGCCGAAGCTTTGCTGTGCACATCCACAGAGAGAACCCTGCTGAACCAGGAGCTGTCACTGGCTCTGCCACTGTCACAGCCTTCTGGCACAGCCTCCTGGGTGCGGCCAGGCCCCTCTCCCGGGCCTTAGGTTCTCGTGCTCTGCAGAGCTTGGGGTCTCGGGCTCTGTCTGGATCTGCAGTTCTGTCTCTGTTGGTCTTTATTTCTGAATCTCCTTAACCTTCTCACTCCACAACTTTGAATGTTTGTGTGTCTGTTTTTGTCCAGGTCTCCTCTCTCTGCGTCTCTGTGCCTGGTCTCTGGGACTCTTGTGTGTGTGTGTCTGTCCATCCCTTAGTCTCTGTCTTTGTGTCCCTGGGTCTCTGTCCCTGCCTATCTGGGTCTTCCTCCGCCCCCACCTTGGTCTGTCCCTTCCTCCCATCACTATCCCCTCCTTCAGGTGTCTGTCTCTTCTCATCTCAGAGGGCTGTCTCAGTTTCTTATTCCCCGTCTCTGTCCCGCAGGCTGCTGCCAGCTCCCCTCCAGGCCGGGAATCCATCTCTGCTGAGAAGCCTCCTCCTGCGGAGAGGACATCCTCCTCTGATTTACCTCCCCACACCACTGTCCCACGCCTGCCCTGCTCTCACTTTCCCACTATCACTCTCCCGTTCCAGTAAAGATCAGAGGTTCTCCCACCTGCATGGTCTGGCATTTCGGATCCCTACTTTCCTTTGCGTGACGTCACGCCACGTCTACATACAGTGCATGACGCCATCGCAGTGGGCGGGCACGCACGGTAGCCCAACTCCCGGAAGCTATCGCGATAGCCTCCTCACTACATTTCCCAGAATCCTAGGAGAAGCAGTGGGCGTGGCAGTACGCGAGGCGGACGGCTACTTGGGTGCATTTCTGGGAGCTGCACCGAGAGCCGACGGAAGTTGTAGTCTCGCATTTTCTAGGGGCGACTGCGGACTTCCGGACTACACGGCCCAGACGTTCCCTGTGGCGCACCAGTACCGCAGGGGCCCCCGGGAGTCGTAGTCCGGCACGCGGGGGTCGCCGGGAGCTGTAGTCCGTCCCGCCTGCTCAGTCAGCGCGGTGCTTCCCGCCCCGCACTCGGAGCCCAGAGCCGCCGCCCAGGGGGATGCGGGAGCCCCTGGCTCGGGGGAGCGGAGAGGCAGGCGGGGTGAGGGGCGTTGCCAGGCAAAGGGCGAGCGCCGCGGTTGGGGTACAGGTCGGGAAAGGGCTCTATTGATTTTCGTGGAGGGGGCCTGGTTACCAGGTAATAGGAAGAGGGGATCCTGTTGCTTAGATGATTGGGCAGGGGACCCTGTTGCCAGGTGACAAGAGGAGAGAACCTTGTTTAATGACCGGGGAAGAGGATTCTTTTGTTGCTAGGCGACCAGAAGAGACCCCGTTACCTAGAGACGGGCGAGGAAGATTCCTTTATTGCTAGGTTATCAGAAGAGAGACTTTGTTACCTAGTGGGGGGGTTGGAGCTCTGTTGCTAGGTAACCAGAGAGGGATCCTGTTACCTGGAGACAGGGGAGGTGGGTTCCTCTGTTACTAGGTGACCATGATAGGAACCCTTTTAGTAAGAGACGTGGTGGAGGTGGTACTCTGTTGCTAGGTGAACAGAAAGAGCTTTTTTTTTTTTTCTAGGAATATTGCCGGGAAACGGCCCAGGGAGCCAAGTCAGGGGCCCAGTACCCTCCCAGGCTTCCCAAGCCCCCAGTTCAATGGCGATGCCCCAAGGGTCTGTTGGGAGGTTGGACCTCAGACTCTGGGCCTCAAGATCCTGGGCCCCTGAGTGCCTTCTCCCCCAGCAGGAGCCGAGGACGGCATGTCCCAGGCCCCGGGAGCACGGCCGAGCCCGCCCTCCGTGTACCACGAAAGGCAACGCCTGGAGCTGTGTGCTGTCCACGCCCTCAACAACGTCCTGCAGCAGCAGCTCTTTAGCCAGGAGGCTGCTGATGAGATCTGCAAGAGGTGACCACCACTCATCCTAACCCTTGGAAAAGCAGGCTCAGAGAGGCAGAGCAAGCCAACTGGGAGTCACAGTGAGGACAGGACAGAACCTGGGGGCTCTCTTCTGCCTTGCTCACCTGCCCGAGCTGGACCCTGGGGCTCACAGGTGGAGATGTCGCATCCTCCACTCGTCCATCCCCACAGCCTCAGCCCCAGCTCAGGCCTCACCCTCTCTTATCTGGGCCTTGTCATAGCCTCCAACTATCAGTTTTTATTCTCCAGTTCATCCTACACACGGCCCCAGAGCTGACCCTGCCCTGTCCCCTGCCCATAGTCCTCCATGGCTCTCCAGTCCCCCTAGGAAAAGTCTCACGTTCTTCAGTCTGATATCCAAGGCCCCAAATACTCTGGTCCCCACCCTCTCTGCAGTTTCATCTCTCACTGTGCCCCTCAGACCAGACTCCTATCCAGTCCCTGAAAGAGCCCCACTATGATGCCTCTGGGCCTTTGCGCGAGCTGTTCTTTCTGCCTGGTATGGCTTCCTCCTCCTGCAATGTTCCTCCTCACTATTCAAGATTTCAAACATCGCTTCTTTATAATCTCTGCCTCATTCCCTCCTTTCTGTCCCCACAGCTCTGGCCCCAGCTCAGGCCCGATCCTCTCCTGCCTCGACCTTCTACCCAACCTCCTGGCCTCTAGTCTCCCTTTCAGTCAGTCCCCAACATGATCCTGGAGGGATCTTTCTATACTCAGAGATGACCCTACCTCCCTCCCCTCTTGCTCACAACATCCTGTGGCTCCCTAGCATCCTCAGGCAGAGTCTCAGCCCCTCAGACTGATTATTATAGAATTTATTCACTTCCACTACCATTCAAAACAGGAATTGATCAACTTTTTCATGCCAGGTTATGCTGGAGACCCAGAAATGAGTCGGATACGAGCTATGCCCTGAGGGAGGTGAAGGGAAAGGATACAGAGAAACATAATGCATAAACTTTCCCCTCCCCCTGCCCTTTCCACCAGGGGCCCGGATAGGGAACAAAGATACAGTTGTTCAGAGGAGGCAGGACCCAGAGAGATAAGCGGTACAGGGTGGGCCTCCTGGGCTGGGGAAAGAGCTGGAGGAAAGGCTGGGAGGCAGGAGCATACGGAACATGGTTAGGGAACAGGTGGCAGGGGTGAGGCTCAGAGGCCAGCCGGAACCAGACCATGCAGGGCCTCGAACACCAGGCTGAGGAGGTGGGACTCTATCCTGGGGGTGATAGGGAGCCAGGGAGGGCTGTAAGCAGGGTCAGCCCCGTGTGGGAGACAAACAGTGTTAAAACAAGGTGACATGAGCAACCGTTATTGAGGTGGCTCAGTTCACTGGGGGAGCCCAGAGAAGGCCCCAAACCCAGCCTGGAGGTCAGGAGACTCCTTTCAGAGGGAGTGACATCTAAAGTGGGTCTTGAAGGACAGACGATGGAAGGGATTGGTCATAACGAGAAAGGCTGAGGGTCACTGGGAAGCCATGGAAGGGCTGTGAGCAGGGGAGGTGCGGTGGTCGCCAAGGGCTCTGTGGGAGATGGACTAGAGGAGGAAACTGGAGGTTGGGTGAGGGTTCGAGTGGGAAAAGACAGAGCCCGAGCTGGGGTCTTGGGGACAGGGCAGAGTGAGGGGACAGGAGGGAGAAGACTTGGGAGCTGATAAGTTGTGGGGATTGAAGAGAGGGAAGAGTCTAAGGCTGCGTTAACTGATGAACCCTGGGATTCCCCCTGCTTTGTGGGAAGGGTAAGGCTTTTCCAGGGGTCCCCAACTCAAGCTCTGACCACCCCACCCCCACCAGGTTGGCCCCAGACTCCCGGCTGAACCCCCATCGCAGCCTCCTGGGCACCGGCAACTATGATGTCAATGTGATCATGGCTGCCCTGCAGGGGCTGGGCCTGGCCGCTGTGTGGTGGGACAGGAGGAGGTAGGACCAGAGTGCTGCATTGAGTGCTGGGCTGGACACAGAGGTCACAGTGTGTGTCAGTCAGGGTGGGATAGAGCCAGGGGGAGGGGAATGGTTGGATAGGAGGAAGGAAGGGTAGATGCATACAGGGTCTGCATGGACAGATGGTGGTCAACAGACTGATGGATCAGTTGGTGGGTAAAAGGACAAGGGGGTGACTCACGTGGGATGGTCAATGAGTTGAGGGATGGGTGATGGGCAGAATGGCGGTAACTGGGTGAATAAGAGGACGCTGAAGGGGCGGTGGGATGCGTTGGTGTTGGCGGGTATGAATGGATGGGTGACTGAGTGAGTAAAAGATGCATAGTTGTAGGCAGTGGAGAGCAAAGAGGCGGCTGGGTAGTTGGATGGGTGAATGGGAGGTTTTGACGGATGGATGAACGGTAGCTGGGTGGGTGGACGCATGGATAGTGGATGAGTAAACAGTAGATGAGGAGTTGGGGGAAGGGTCGATAAGTTGTGGGACAGATGGCCGGCCGGGTGGCGGCTGGTGTGTCACAGAGTGGGCAGGTGGTGCTTGGGTGAGTAGTGGATGGATAGCTGGGTGGTGGATGGCTGGTAAATGGTTGCCTGGCAGGTGTGAGTGTGTGGGTGGACGGCGTGGTGGATGGAGGTGGATAGATCGGGGTGAATGTGTGAGTGGTACGTGAGAACTCGGATGGGCTGGATGGATAATGGATAGATGGATGGCAGATGGGTAAAGAGTGGGTGGCTGGATGGACAGATGGATGGTGGGTGGCAGGAGGTTTGCGTGAGTGGGTGAAAGGGTGAGTAGAGAGACACAGGCTGGGCTGTTTAAGAAACGCCCTTTGGCGGGCTCAGGAAGCTGGGTTGTCCATGCCAGCCTGGGCCCCACAAACATTTGGCCAGTGGGTGCCAGTCCTGACTGCAGTGTCCCCCTCCCCGCCCACACAGACCCCTGTCCCAGCTGGCCCTGCCCCAGGTGCTGGGGCTGATCCTGAACCTGCCCTCACCCGTGTCTCTGGGATTGCTGTCCCTGCCGCTGCGCCGGCGGCACTGGGTGGCTCTGCGCCAGGTGGAGGGCATCTACTACAACCTGGACTCCAAGCTGCGGGCACCTGAAGCATTGGGAGGCGAGGATGGCGTCAGGTGAGCCCAGATAGAGGTAGCTCCGAAGGCAGGGCCTCGGTACTGGAGCCCCATTCCCTGGAAGGGAACTCCGAAGCTGTCTGTGCCTCAGTCTCCCCATTTCTCCCACCCAGGGCTTTCCTAGCGGCTGCACTGACCCAGGGCCTGTGCGAGGTGCTACTGGTGGTGACCAAGGAGGTGGAGGAGAAAGGAAGCTGGCTGCGGACAGACTGACCCCCCAGCTGACTCTGTTGGCTGCCTGCCTAGCACGGTCCCTGCACGGCCACATCCAGCTTCTGAGTGCTGGAGAAGGGCCTGCACTTCACGGTCCCCTAGGAGGCTCCAGCCCCTTCCGCACACCCTGCTGCCCAATGCCACTGCTGCCTCAATAAATCTGCTGATTTGCTCCAGGCTCGGCCTGTGTCTGACTGACCCCCAGCTGCTGCTGAGGTCCCCTTTCATTCAGTGACTCTTGTTCATCAGAGAGCCCAGAAGCCAGCCAGTTTTGTCTTAGATCCTGGCTCTCTGTCCCTTCATGCCAGTCACTCACCTCTCTGGACCCCCATGTCCTCTCATTGAGGGCACAGCAGAAAACATGAATCCCTGCCCTCGGGAAGCTAACTTTCCACTGCAGAAGAGAGACCAGGGACAAAC